GCCAGGAGCTCCTCAAAGAGTCATTCATAGTAGTTAAAATACAGTATTCACAATGTATGGTTTAGAATGTACACCTTTCACAGGCATACATTTAAGAATGTTTATAAATCAAATAATATTTTGTGCTTACTCTAAATCATCTTGAGACTTTAATTAAATTCAGGAGTTGCATCAATGTATCACAGAAACACAACCAAACTGCCCTGTGTATATGTTTATTGACAGGTGTGCATTTGCATTCTTTCAGAAGTTTGGTTTGTTTCCTCATCAGAATACTCAATTTATTTTTTTTTTTTTGCTACCTTCTGCTCTTTTGTCACTCTCCCAAATTCTGTACAAGTGTCACTTCCGTGCTGCATTTCCACAGAGAATGAAGAGTAGAATGTGTAGGCTTTCTACTGCACAATGAGATGGTGCATTTTTTTCAACATATGCATACGTAAGCCTTCTTTTGTGAATGGGACTGATAGGGTCAGATAATGTTTAAAGGGAAAGGCTTTATGTCTCTCAGGCCTCTATGTTTCCACATGGATGCTCCCACACACACATAGATTGAATTATGAACAGAGCCATTAATGCTGGGATCACAAAAGGTCAAGTTTTGTCTTTTTTTTACCCCCATTCACATTGCCTTTGTAGAGACGGAGGAAAAAAAAGGGATTTGCACGAAAAAAAGATTCATGATGAGGAGTTTTAAACATATTCCCCCTTTTAGCAACATCTGTGATTTGAAAAAAAAATCATGTTATGTAAAATTATTCAGAAATATTGTTTTACCTACCCAGTTTTGGTATATGAATTATTTCATGCATAGTGTTATCTTTAAGGGTAACACGACACGTTATCATAATAACTGAGAAAAAATGTAGCACTTTCAGAATAAAAGGCCTTATGAATATGTAAAGTAACAAAGTTTGTATAAAATTGGATGGAAACTTTATCAAAACATCAGTGGCAGAATTCTTGATATATGTTCTCCTATGTTTAAGATGTAAGTTAATCTTTGCTATTGCATCTTATTTGATAATTTTAAGTTATTAAAAATAGGTCATAATTAGTATAATTTTGCTTCACATACATTAACAGATAATCATACAGCCAAGGAAAATAGCAAAAATGATAGAGAAAATTTTTGAAGCAACAAAGAATTTATAGAAAATGAAACTTTAAGACTCTAACCAATAGCCCTTTAGAATGCAAATGACATCATCGATTGTATGGTTGGTTGATTTCTGATGTCACATGAAATCCCCTATCAGTGAAAGGCTATGAATTGTGACAGTAAAGCCAGTCATGTATAAAAATGCTCTCAAATCAAAGCCTGAAATTCCTCCTTTTTTTCCTTCTGTTGGCGTGTTACAGCATTAGGTACAGTATATAAAATTATAGAGAGAAGTATTATTGACTAGCAAAATATATTGCATGTTGCTTAGTATATTTTGAAGACTACATAAAATTGTTTCTTTTTGAATTATATGGTACTGGGTATAGGTTCAGAGAGAATCGGTGCTTTTCAGAAGTGTGGGTGCATGCTCAGTCATGTCCACTCTTTGTGACTCCATGGACTATAGCCCCTCAGGCTTCTCTGTCCATGGAATTTTCCAGGCAAGAATACTGGAGTAGATTGCCATTTCCTTCTCCAGGGGATCTTCTTGACCCAAGGATCGAACCTGCAACTCCTGTGTCTCCTGTATTGGCAGGCAGATTCTTTACCTTTTACTCTATTGGGAAGCCCAAGTAGAATCTATTTAAGCTGTTTGAATATTAGATTTAATTTTGTCAGATAACTGTAAGAGCAAGTCACCTGGTCTGCTTTGGTCTCTAGCTTTGGTATGATAGATACTATTATCCATCATCTTTGAGGATAATACTGCTAGAAGGTAGTATGGTAAAGATAAAGATGAAAACATTGACTAAAATTGAATCAGTTATCACTGCCATATCTTAAGTTTTGCAACTTTCTTATAGAGTTAACTGTATTCGGGAAGCATAGAAATTTGTTTCAGAAAGTAAGAAAAAGTCTTGAATCTTGAAGAGCAAGATGAAGAAGGCAGTAGGGTTGGTGAAGGGTAGGAGGGGAGGAAGGAGCTACTTGGAAGGTTCATTATACTATTGGAGGTAGATTAATTAGGTGGCAATGGCAGGATGGCTTAGAGAGGGAGAGTTTAGGACAGGAACCACTCAGTATTTATTTTGATAATGCCAGTAATGGGAGGGGATGAGGAGATGAAGACTTGGGCCAGAGTATTACTTATAAGAAGAGCAAGGAAGGAAAGGAAGTATATGTGTTTACAAGAAGGGTTGATAAACTACAGCCCAGGGGCCAAATCCAACCCATTGCTTGTTTTTCTGAAGTTTTATTGGAACATAGCCTTGTCAATTTGTTTACATATTGTCTGTGGCTGCTTACAAAGTAGAACTTCAGAGTCAAATGGTTGTTTGTTTGTTTAATAGTTATTTATTTGGTGCTTTGGGTCTTAGCTGTGGCATGAGGGATTTTCTATCTTTGTTGCAACATGTGGAATATTTAGAAGTGTCATGTAGGATCTAGTTACCTGATCAGGAATTGAACCTGGGGCCCCTGCATTTGGAGTACAGAGTCTTTGCCAACGAACCACCAGGGAAGTCCTCAAGATTGAGTAGTTTTGATGGAGACATTTTACCACAAAACTGAAACTATTTATTATCTGGCTCTTACGAAGAAGTTTGCCAACACTTTATTTAGAAGAAAACATTGCTTAAAGAAAGCAAGTGGTTGGTCACATAGGGCCAAATAAGAAAAACACCAAAAAAAAAAAAGGATTAATTTAAATTAGTTTTCTTATATGCATATAATGCTTCTAAAGTTCTTCAGTCTGTTCAGTTCAGTCGCTCAGTCATGTCCAACTCTTTGCAACACCATGGATTGCAGCACGTCGGGCTTCCCTGTCCATCACCAGCTCCCGTAGCTTGCTCAAACTCATGTCCATCTAGTCGGTGACACCATCCAGCCATCTTATCCTCTGCTATCCCCTTCTCCTCCTGCCTTCAATATTTCCCAGTATCAGGGTCTTTTCCAGTGATTTGGCTTTTCTCATCAGGTAGCAAAAGTATTGGAGTTTCAGCTTCAGCATCAGTCCTTCCAATGAATATTCAGGGTTGATTTCCTTTAGGATTGACTGGTTTGATCTCCCTGCAGTCCAAGGGACTCTCAAGAGTCTTCTCCAACATCACAGTTCAAAAGAATCAATTCTTTGGTGCTCAGTTTTCTTTATGGCCCAACTGTCACATCCATATATGACTACTGGAGAAACTGTAGCTTTGACTAGATGGACCTTTGTTGTCAAGGTAATGTCTTTGCTTTTTAATATGCTGCTGAGGTTTGTCATAGCTTTTCTTCAAAGGAATAAGCAGTCACCATCTGCAGTGATTTGGGCCCAAGAAAATAAAGTCTGTTACTGTTTCCATTGTTTCCCCATCTATCTGCCAGGAAGGGATGGGGCTGGATGCTATGATCTTAGTTTTCTGAATGTTGAGCTTTAAGCCAGCTTCTTCACTCTCCTCTTTCACTTTCATCAAGAGGCTGTTTAGTTCCTCTTTGCTTTCTGCCATAAGGGTGATATCATCTGCATATCTGAGGTTATTGATATTTCTCCTGGCAATCTTGATTCCAGCTTTTGCTTCATCCAGCCTGGCATTTTGCATGATGTACTCTGCATATAAGTTAAATAAGCATAGTGACAATATGTAGCCTTGACGTACTCCTTTCCTAATTTGGAACCAGTCTGTTGTTCCATGTCCGGTTCTAACTGTTGCTTCTTGACTGGCACACAGATTTTTCAGTAGCAGATAAGGCGGTCTGGTATTCCTACTCTAAGAATTTTCCACAGTTTGTTGTGATCCACAGTCAAAGGCTTTACTGTAACCAATGAAGCAGAAGTAGATGTTTTTCTGGAACTCTCTTGCTTTGTCTATGATCCAGTGGATGTTGGCAATTTGATCTATGGTTCCCCTGCCTTTTCCAAATCCGGTTTGAACATCTGGAAGTTCTCGGTTCACATACTGTTGAAGCCTAGCTTAGAGAACTTTGAGCATTGCTTTGCTAGCGTATGAAATGAGTGTAGTAGTGTGCTAGTTTGAACATTCTTTGGCATTGCCTTTCTTTGGGATTGGGATGAAAACTGACCTTTTCCAGTCCTGTGGCCACTGCTGAATTTTCCAAATTTGCTGGCATATTGAGACCAGCACCTTAACATCATTCTTGGGAAAAGTTAAATATAATTGAGTATTATATATGTACATATGCATAATATCATTATCATATGTATAGGTTTCAAATTAACTAGGCAAAATATAAAAGTAAGTGTTCAGATCATATGGATAACAGTATAAACTTGCTTTCATTTACTTTCCTGAAATTCTTGTGGGAGGGATAGAAATCCTTGGCTTAACATTAGAGTTGGTTGGGACAAATGCCATATTTTTAGCTGAGACAGAAAGAGAATGAACTGTCAGTACATGAGAGACTCTTGAAGAACGATTTCTTATTTTACCTGTGGACACTGAAGTAGGGCTGAGAATCTATGTGATACTTTCAAGACCAAGAAAGACAGTTAAAACTTAATATGCAGAAAACTACTCTATTTAAAAATGTAAACACTGTAATAATATAACATGTACATGAGACTTTATAGGTCAGCCATTGTGTTGTCCATTCTTTAGTCTCATCTAATTCTTAGTATGGTAAGGTCAATATTAGTCCTCACTTGTGGATGAATGTCTTATTACCCATTCAAAATGTCTCAGTCAGCAAATGAAAGAGCCAGGATTTTAACTCAAGATTTCAAAAAGTCCATTCCCTATTCAGAGTCATTCATAACTCTAAATGGGTCCAATTTGATCACTTTAAAGAGTCATGGATAAACTGAACTTCTGCTTTTCATCTCTTCTGGTCACTACCCTATATCGATCAATGTTTATGTAAGAATCCAGTCTATTAGAATATAAGGCTATATAACATAATGAAAAGTCAAAGAATTGTAATGATTTTAATTTGCTAACTATATGGATTAAGATATTAACTTACTATTTTTGAGTCCTCTGCATGTCTTTCTAGGAATCCATAAGTCAAGTTCGTGTCTCTTAAATATGTTGATTAGAAATCCAGAAATTTAAATACAAAGGGTAAATGTCTCTAAACCTTTGCTGTTTCTGAAAAAATTCTATGCATCATTCTGAAATACATATGTATATTCAAAATGTTGTCTAGAATATTCAAAATATTGTCTTTGAAGTATGGATATTTTGAAAAATTATATTTATGAAATTTGGAAAATGATATTTTGAAGCATTTGGAAGGAAGAAAATTAATTGTTTCATTTAAAAGGCCCACACAATGTTAATAAAGTTAACATATGTATTAAAAATTTAAAGGTAACTTACAAATGGCAAAATAAAATATTCTAGAAAGTAAGGTATATAAAATAGAATTAAATATTGTCATTGATACATATATTTGATTATTTAAAGTCTTAGAGAGGTCTTATTCTGTTAAGCAGTTTAAAAGTCTTTGGCAAACTTGTAAGATGTATATGTTTCTTTCTGTATCTAGAACGCAATTGTAAATAGGTACCTGTTCCATATTATTAAAATCCAAAATTAGAAATCTTCCCATAAATAAAATTTGTTAATGAAGGAATGTATGTATCATCTGTTCACTTTACTTAAACATAGATCTGTGCTCAAATTCTTATATTGAAGTCTTTTCCCCCACATCAAACTGGGCACTCAAAAATCTAATAGGTGTGACATCAACAATTACTACTTGCTAACAACGCTTGTAATTTAACCCCTTCAGGTGAACAGGCTGATTGATGAATTGCAGACAGCTATCAAAAGCAACAGAGGTCATCTCTCTAAACTTGGCCCCCAATTACAGGCTGAGCAGGAGCAATTCTCCTCTTACGTCTACCAACACATTAAAAGCCTTCCAGCAAACACTCTTGTCCCAGGAGGACTGCAGCTCAAGGTGGGTGTCATTCTGTGACTATCAATGGGTTCAGCCAGAGACAACAAAACACTCTGCTCCATTTGGAGACCCTTGTAACAATGCCACTCAGCTTGAATTTCTTTTTGTGCTGTCTTCCTCAAACTGGAGTTTGGATTACAAGTACTAATATTACCATTGAGGAACTATGTTTTAAAAGAAAATAGCTAGAGGTCTTTGAAATATGGATTTATAAACTTTAGTTTTCAACCCAGAGAAGTAATTTTAATGAAGAAATTTAATCATTGAACATTTATGTGCTTTTCTAAGAAACATATATTTTTCACAGGAGTCACTATGTATTTCAGTTTTTAAGAATAACTTATTTGGAGAAATGGACAAGCTTTAATAATTGACAGACAGTGGCAATAGGAATTAGAGGTGAAAGGCCAGGTGACTGATTGATGTTCAAACTACATTTCCAAGGAAAAAGATCTGTATTGGATAAGTGTGACACATGTCTGAGTTCACTTGGGAAAATCAATACTTCAGAATATACTGGGAAAAAAGGTGAATTGGTTATCTGTCATGACAAGATGGCTAAATGTCCTATACTACTCTTTGCTATTGCATCTTTGGGAGAGAAAAAAATAATTCATATTCAGCTAAAGTGGTTTATGTACTGGAAGTTTAGATAAATACTTTTATCATAATAGTGTATCCATATTAAGTATATCAAGTTAAGATTGTTCTATAATCTCATATTTTGAAAGACTATAATTAGTAAAATTAATCTGAGCATGGCACTCTTCCCTCTAAAGAACCATTACTACAACTTTCATTTCCTTTTGATTATGTTTATATTTGAATACTATTAATATTCAAAGTAATTGTATTTTGATCAGCCTTTATCTCTACAGTTCCCCTTAATATTCAGTCTTATTCTGCAAGTAGCATGGTAAACATTACATTTTCTGTCTATAACTTATTTCTTTAATGGAATTCCTTGTTTGCATTTTGAATGAGAATATTACCATGTAAAAATTGACCTTTGGGGAAGTGTAATTCCAAGATAAACAAATGATAATTTATCTCTTATAGCCTGTGCTAGTCAGCTAAAGGTTTAGGAAGTGATATTCAAGACATCAAGGTCAAGTGTTCCTGTAGTCCAGTAGTTCTTTTGCTGATTTCTGACTTGATTACAGATCCAGGCTTCCATTTTGCACCTAACTCTAAGGTCTGAAGCCATAAAACTCCTAGAAGAACTATGTTTCCTGTGTGCTGCCTTAGTCTTAGCAGTATATATTTTTGGAGATCTTCAGGCAAGGGTACTAAAAGCAAAAATAAACAGATGGGACTACACCAAACAAAAGAGCTTTTGCACATCAAAGGAAACCATCAACAAAATGAAAAAAAAAAACATACTGAATGGGAGAAGATGTTTGCAAAAGATGTGTCCAAGAAGGGATGAATATCCAAACTATATAAAGAAATCACACAGTGTCCAGAAACACAAGCAATTCAATTAAAAAAAAATGGGCAAAGAACCTGAATAGTTATTTTACCGAGGAAGACATATAGATGGCTAATAGACACATGAAAAGATGCTCAACATCACTAATCATCAGGGACATGAAAATCAAAACCACAATGAGATATCACCTCATACTTGTCATAAATTGCTGTTATCGAAAAGATAACAAAAAACAAGTGTCATTGAGGACGATGGAGAAAAGAAATCCTCGAACATTGTTGGTGGAATTGTAAATTGGTGCAGCTACTATGGAAAACAGTATGGAAGTTCCTCAAAAAGTTAAAAATAGAACTGCCATACAGTTCAGCACTTCCACTTCTGGGCATTTATCTTAAGGAAGAAAAAACAAATACTTATTTGAAAAGATAAATGCACTGCTATGTTCATTGCAGCATTATTTGCAATAGCCAAGAAATGGAAGCAACCTAAGTATCTATTGATAGACAAATGGATTAAGATGTTTTATACATATTATATGTACATACACACACATACACACAGACACACCCACACATAATGGAATGTTACTCAACCATAAAAAGAATGAAATCTTGTCATTTGCAGCAACATGGACAGACCCACAGGGCATTTTGCTAAATGAAATGACATGTAGACAAATACTATATGATTTCACTTATATGTGGAATCTTTTCATACTGTTCATGGGGTCCTCAAGGCAAGAATACTGAAGTGGTTTGCCATTCCCTTCTCCAGTGGACCACATTTTGTCAGAACTCTCCACCATGACCCGTCCATCTTGGGTGGCCCTGCACGGCATGGCTCATAGTTTCATGGCCCCCTGATGTGAAGAACTGACTCATTGGAAAAGACCCTGATGCTGGGAAAGATTGAAGGCAGGAGGAGAAGAGGACAACAGAGAATGAGATGGTTGAATGGCATCACCAACTTGATGGACATAAGTTTGAGAAAGCTCTGGGAGTTGGTGATGGACAGGGAAACCTGGAGGGCTACAGTCCATGGGGTTGCAAAGAGTCAGACACGACTGAGTGACTGAACTGAGCTGAACTGATATGTGGAATCTGTAAAACAAAACAAAAACAGACTTAGATATAGAGAACAAACTTGTGGTTACCACAGGGTGGGGGTTGTGGGGGATTGGGCAGATTAGATAAAGGGCATTAAGTGCAAACTTCCAGTTATTAAATAAATACGCCGGGGGAGGTAATGTGTAGCACAGAGAATATAATCAATGTGTGTGTGTGTTAGTCACTCAGTCATGTCCCACTGTTTCAAACCCTGTGCACTGTAGCCTTGAAGTTCCTCCATCCATGGAATTCTCCAAGCAAGAGTACTGGAGTGGGTTGCCATTCCCTTCTCCAGGGGATCTTCCCAACCCAGAGATAGAACATGGGTATCCTGCATTGCAGGTAGATTCTTTAGTGTCCAAACCACTAGGGAAGTCCATAGTCAATGGTATTGCAATACCTTTTTTATGTGATGACATATGGGTACTACACTTAATCATGGTGATCAGTTCATCATGTATATGTATCAGATCACCATGTTGTACACTTGAAACTAAAGTTGTGTGTCAACTGTGTGTGTATGTGTGTGTTTAATCACTCAGTTGTGTCTGACTCTTTGGGACCCATGGACTATAGCCGGCCAGGCTCCTCTGTCCAAGGGATTCTCCAGACAAGAATACTGGAGTGGGTACTGGAAAAGGAAATGGCAACCCACTCCAGTATTCTTGCCCGGAGAATGACTGAGCGGCTGAGCACTCAGCAACCATTCCCTGCTACTGGGGATCTTCCCGACCCAGGGATTGAACTTGGTCTCCTGCATTGCTGGTGGATTCTTTACCATCTGAGCTACTATACTTCAATTAAAAAAGGAAAAAAAAATAATGAAAAAACAAAATGAAACAACACAAAAACAAAGATTCCTGAAAACAGTACTTCTTTGTTTCAGAGCTCAACATTTGCCTTTCCCTGTCAGAGCTGTGCCAGGACGGGTACAGGGAACTTTCATTTTATTTCTCCCCTCTTTTGAGCTTCCTCTTTTCCCATCAGCTCTATGACAGAAATCTTGTGTTTACAGGAAAACAATTACCTGCAACACAGACCATCTCAAACCATTTCAAATAAAAGGAGGGTTTGTTGAAAACATGTAAAGAAATCTCACAGAATTGAAAGTCAGGAAATACAGCTGATTCTCACAAGAAAGTCACCTATTTTCCATACCTCTTTCTCCTGAAGCCCTATGATCTTCCCTCTCCTTATCTTTCTGAGCTTTGAAATTTCTCTTTTCTTTCTGCAAGCTGGCTTTCTCTTTTTACTCCTTTGTTAGTATATGAGGAAAATTGTGGCCCCTTGTTGTTGTTCTGGCCCTAACTTTTTAATTTAAATGGTCATCATCATTTGAATAGAGTGTGTCTCCTAGTTCAAATCATTTGTAGAGAGAATCTGTTTGCATCAGTCCAGCCTTATCTAGGTCCCTGACATTAACTCAACCACCTGTAACCACTGAGTGGGGAAAGGCAGGGTCGTGTGCAATACAGGGCATAGCGGAGTTTCCAGGAATTAACTTAGAAAGGGAAGTTGGTCATGGATGACCTAAGTGATTGACACGTTTCTCATATATAATTAAATGGAACATTATAAATAAATTATTGTGTATTATTTGTGGTAATGTATTCTCTCCTTTCCCTCCAACCCCCATATTTTTGGGAGTAGATGTTTGGACTGCTGGAAAAGAAATTGAGATCTGTAGTTTTCTAAACTAGTTCTTACATCTGAAATAGGTAGGTAGTAGAGACAAAACTGGATTAGCAAAGTATACCCTCAATATTCAGGATTGCAAATCTCTTAGAATTGAGGAGTTTTTCGTACTCTCTAGGTGAGGTGAAAGTCACTCAGTCATGTCCAACTCTTTGTGACCCCATGGACTATACAGTGCATTGAATTCTCCAGGCCAGAAAACTGGAGTTAGGTAGCCTTTCTCTTCTCCAGGGGATCTTCCCAACCCAGGGATCGGACCCAGGTCTCCCTCTTTGCAGGCGGATTCTTTACCAGCTGAGCCACAAGGGAAGACCTCTCTAGGTGAAGAGAATTTGCTATTTCCAATTGGAGAGATATTGAGCACAGGTCCTAGCAGCATACCATCCTCTGTTAATTCCAGAATCAGTTCATATCAGTAGCCTGGCCAAACTGTTTCCGTGGAGTGTGAATGAACTTCCCTTTTTTGGAGCACTGTCTCCAGCCCAGTTACCTCTGAGTCACTTTGTGCAAAGACCAGGACTTTTGTCGTTATGAACAACTTTATCCCATCTATAGCATGAGCTTTGCAGACTGTTAGATGATATATTAATCAATCGGTCAGTACATTTTCCATTTCTAACTGTAAGCCATGGTTCTAGTAAAACTTATTTTCCCCTTTTCTCTTCATCTTGATAAAACAGTGAATTGGAATGATTATCTTTCTACTTTTTTCTGTTTGATGATTTGCATTACTGTTGATGTGATGTAGATGTGATGTTGATGTAGAT